TTCCCCTGGATTCGCACTCGGTGTGTCTAAGAACGTCCCTCTCCCCTGCTAGCCAAGGCCTTTGAGTAAAAATGACTCCTGCCCTGCCCCGGGCCTCCCGGTCCCCTTACCTGTGGAGTGCTTCCAAAGCTTCAGGTCAATCACAACATTGCCTAGAGAACTTGGGGAGGTGGGGAGGGACCTATTTGGAGTTGGTGGTTGGGTGGGGGTGGGGCTCCGGTTCTGAGCATCATTATAATTGCCTTCCAGTAAGACTGTCCTAGGAGAGCTAATCCTGATGCCATCTGATTTCTGGATCCCTGTCCCTTCACCCCTTCCTGGACCCTGGATTCCCAGCACAGATTTGCCCTCCTGTCTGCCTAGAAGTGAACTCTGGCCAGGACTCCCTTCAGATTGGGGTTGGGGGGGAGGGTGTGTCAAACAGAGGAGGAGAGAGGGTGGCTTTCTTTTCTAGCTTCTTCCCTCTTTTGCGTCCCCCATGGCATTCTCAGGCTCTGTATCCTTGGCCTACTCCAGGAATCCCAGCTCACAGCTAAACAGCTCCCTGCATGGCCTCTTCCTTAGGCTTCCTGTTGTGTCTACACCTGGAGTGTGAAGAAACTCCTGACCTGGGTCCTAGCAAAATGGGGAGCAGGAGGAATGTCTGTCAGTGTCTCGGTGGGGAAGGGAGAGGGAGCAGGAGGTATGCAAAGGAATCCCTCCGATCAGATAAATACAGCCATCCTGAACATAGTCAAGACTCTTCGTGTGTTGGAGCCCTGGAGCGTGTGGCTGCCTACACTGTGGTCTGTCTGAGGTTGTCCGTGGCCACATCAAGCATGGTGTCTGTGGGATAGACAAGACAGTGTTATTTGTGGTGTCTGGAGTGGTCAGTCACCGTGCGGTGTGGACAAGGACGGGTCACCCACAGGGTCACAGGCCAGAGAGGAGCAGTGCTACTCAAGTGTCAGTGGTGTGGACCCAGACAGGTGGCTTACAATATCCGGTGTAGACAGGGCTAGGTCACTCGCCGTGTCTGTGGAGTGAACAGGAGTTGGCCATCTATAGTGTCTCCAAGGTGGGCAAGAACACAGTCACTTGCAGAGTCTCTGCTAAGAACAAAAACCAGTCCCTCACACTCACGTTATCTTTGCGGGTGGCAGCGGGGCCACAGGTGGGCTCGTGGGGGTCTGTCTGCATTGCCACGGTGATGTTCAGTGTAAGCCCATCTGGTCTACAGGGCAGTGAGTAATGTGATACTTTCAGACTTAGGGAACAGGTAGGAGATACTTCTTACAGTTTGCACGGAGATGGTGGGGCTTTCCTAAAGCGGATGGGACACGGGGCTTTGCAGTTAGTGGCCCAGATTGCCACCCTTATTTTCATGTCTTTGTAGTATTGGGAGCAATGATGTCAAACAGTAAATAAAACCATAATCTATGTGGTAGTCTTATTTCCTAAATCAAAATGAGAACATATCCTTTGATTTGGGGGTTATTTTCCTAAGATAGGTAGCAGTATAGATGATATAGTGTAAATGCAGAAGTATTGTAATCTCAAGAGCGTTTCAGTGATTTGTGGTGTCAATGGGAATACTTAAAATTTGACACTGCTAGAAAATCTAAGAAGCATGGTTCTCAAAATTACACACAGCAGTCGACATGGGTTCGAAGAGGAAGCAGTGTGATGGTGGGATCTGGCTGGGGAGGGAGGATCTCTTTGAAATACAATTTATGCCTGGAGACTAGAAATGGACAAGAGCCTAACGTGCTAGGGGGCTCCGAGAGGGATGCTGAGCTCTGTCACACACCGTGTTCATGGGGGTGACATGGAGCTTTGTGTTGAAGAAAGTCGCATGTGGACGGGGTCAACTGGTACAAAATGTCTCTGGTCTGGATGACGCCGAGCTCTGTCTTTGCATGTGTTCAGTTAGTGATTATTCACTCCCAGTGGAGAAGGAGATAAGGAGGCAACTCTGACATAATGGGCAGTGCAAAAAACCTCTCAGCCGATGCTTTTATGTGACTAAAACCATGTTTTACAGATCAGCTTTGTCACATTCTAGGTTTGTAGTGCATGACTGTAATAAGATTACTAGGAGAAGATCAAGCATAGGGAATGGTGGCTAAGCCGAATGGATAAAGATAGTGTTAGAAATAGTGTCACTGGGTTGCAGGAGACAGACGTGCATTGCGTCACTAGAATGGAACTGACGATGTCCATCTAGCACGTATGCGTTTATATACACACACCATGCAGAGCAGAAACGCACTTGAATATTGAGAGACTGCTCGTTTTGTGGTCATGACAGTATGTATGGGTATAGGGCCCGGACAACACAGATGTGGGTGAGTGAAGACTACGGGTTTTGTTGCACGGTGTCCTGAGGCAGGTAGGGGCCAAGTTTCAGAAAGTGTTTACAGTGAACAAGTATGTTATTTAACGTGTGGTTGAGAGGACAGGGTGACATCACAGTATCATCCGCAGTGATTTTAGTATTTTGTTCTTAGGGCTAGATGTAGGGAGCAAGTCGTGTGCTGCGTCAATTAAGTAGAAAAGGACATGAAAGTCCTACACTGGTAAACTTGTATTAGACATGGCCGTTTGCCCCACATAGATGGTATCTGGGTCTGTGAAGTAGCCAGGAACTTGTCACATACTACTACATCTGCAGGGTGGCTTAGGGACCTGTCTGTTTGGTTGTGTCAGGCGCTATTGCATAAAAACTGCAAGGGTGGCTCTTCTGCACATGCACACGTGCGTACGTGCGTGCATGTGTGTGTGTGCACATGTGCACATGTGTATGCGTGCTCTTGCAAGCATATGTGCCTGTGCACTATCTCAGCAGGACAGCAGGCATTTTGGGTGGTGGGCTTCCTCTTTAAGTCTAGACCGGACGAGAGGGGCGCAGGTCCAGATGCAGCTCTGGGTTCTGTAGGCCTCGGGGTCTTCTCTAGGCTTGTGACCTTCCCTGCCATCTTTCTTACCGCTGGACTTCTGCTTACTGATGATAGTTGACTTGAGTCAGGAGACCTTGGTTTGAGCTGACCTACGCTATTTGCTTAGGAAATGTGAGCAAGTATCTAGTTATCTGACCTTCAGTTTCCTCATCCGTAACTGAAGCAGAGTTTTCTGTGTGTTTCTAAAGGCCCTTCCAGCTCCTAGGCCCATACTTCTGTCTTACATTTACCCTCTCTTATCTACAATTATAATCCCTAACATTGCTATGACCCTTAAATTAAATTTAACAGCACACTTTTCCATACTACTTTATTTAATCTCCATTATAATTCCTTGCAAAGGAAGTATTTTATCCCTTTTATAAAGATAAAATGAATGTTCAAATAAATGATTTCTAGAATTGTCTTAAATTAACAAGATACAAAAAAGGCAGAACTAGAAATTGAATGACATACTTTTAACTTTGCATCCTTCCTTCATTCACTCATCCATGCAATAAATCTTTGTCGAGGGCCCATTAAACTTCAGGCAGAGGGCACTGAGCAGTTAACATGGCAGTGTCCGTGCCCTCGTGAAGCTCATGGTCTAGCCTGGAAAATAGGCATTAACTGTAATTACATGTGCGATGAGTATGGGAGGAGAAGTAAAGGGTTTGCTGCGAACCACACGAGACGATCCCAGGTGGAGCAGCTGCGCCCGTGAAGGCCTACAGCAGAGCGAGGGGGGCGAGCTAATGGGTCTGAAAGCCAGTGGGCTGGGGGTGCGGGCGGGGGGGCGCTGACAGGTGATGAGGCTGCTAGAGAGGCAGGCAGAGGCCAAGCTGTGGAGGGCAGATAACTCCCATTTGGGTTTTGTCCCAATGGCAGTCAGAGGCTAGTGAAGAATACTAGAAGTGGGCCTTTGAGGATCACTCGGGGGCTGGGTAGAGAATGCCTTAACGAGACGAGAAGCCGTGTGCAGGCCTGTGGCCAGGCTGTGCCCCAGGTGCAGTGGCCTGGGAGAGACTGGACAGCGGGCCGCGCCAGGGTCTGGCAGGGGAGATGGAGGAAAGTGAACAGGCTTGAGGGACATCGAAGAGGTGGGGTCAGGAGGACTCGGTGGCTAGATTAGATACGGGGAATGCGGCCAGCAGGGAAACAGGAATTTTACTCTGTGACTGAAAAACATTTATTAAGCACTTAGTGCGGCCCAGTATTGTGCTATGTACGGACACTGCTAAGTGCTTTCAACGCAGGAGATGAGATACTCTGCTCGAAGTGAGAGAAGAGGTGGGAAGTAATGAGAAGAGGGCACAAGGCTGTCAGAGAGAAGGGGACAGGAGGGTAATGAGGGGAGCAGCTTTATGGACCTACCTGAAACAGGCAACCACTGTGTCTACTGCGGTTCGCATCTACTAAGTCGTTCGACTTTACAGCAGCTGACTCTGTAACTGAAAACAAAATTGCTGATTACTTACAAGGCTCTGCTAGACACTATGGAAAATAGGATGAATGAAGTCGAGACCGTATAGAGGCGGTCAGAACCTCAGAACCTCAGACACGGGCTACGGTGGCCGATGGCCAGACCTGTTGTGATCCCGTAAGCTTAGGAAGAAGATCCCCTCCAGACTTCTCTGGGTGGGTAGTTCTAGGGTGTGTCACTCATCGTGTCTGGGAGGTATATGGGACTGAGTCACTCTTGGTGTCTGGAGAGGCGACAGGGAGATACGGTATGACATAATGCCATCTACGTCTGGAGTGCGCGGTCCTCTGACGGCAAGGCTCTTGTTTAATCGCGTATCGTCAGTCTCCCCCACGAGACTGCAGGCTCCACGGGGACATGGTTTTTGTCTCGTGTCTGAATGCCCCACACTTAAAAGGGTCACTTGGTAAATATCTATTAAATGAATGAATAAGTGACAAATTTTACAGAGGCTATTGCTTATTTTTTTGAGTACTTTTTGTCTCAAAGAGTGACTAAATGCAACCAAAGAAATGTCCTATCCTTCTTCATGGTCTGTCCCTCTAATAGGTGAAAGCACAGCGGTGATGGAGTCTTTATCTTTTATTCTTTAGGGTTCAGCCCTGATGGAGGCTGAGGAGCCCCAACACGGAGCGTCGACTCCCATCCCTGCCATGGAGGAATTCAGTGTTATCCCTGAGGCTCTCACGAGCAGCTGTCAGACCCCTGCCGTGGGTCCTGAAGCCCAGGGAGGCCAAGACCCTTTCTATAAGTGGGCAGAGGGACACCAACCCTTGGAGACCCAGCAGAGAGATTTAAGAGATGTAAATGACTGTGCATCCGAAAGTATGACCTCTTTACCCAAGGAAGCCCCTGAAGATGTGGAGACCAACCAGGAAAACCTTACGGCCGAGGCCCAAAACACTCCAGAACGCCAGGGTCCAGCAGACAGACAGGCAAAGACACCAGCTCCCCTAGAGCTCTGGGTTTGCCCTGTCCAGGATGAGTGCCGGGACCCGGTCCCGATACCCAGCGAGCTGAGCAGCAGAGTGGAGGTGGAATTTAGCCCAGAGCTCACTGCCTTGAGACTGGGTGCTGGACGAGCAGAAGAGGAGGAGGAAACATCTCCAGGTACCTCTGCTCAGACGAGGTGCTGGCCTTCCTGGGAAGAGCACCCTGCAGAGAGCCACCCACCACAGGACTCTGAGAGTAGGACCATCAGGCAGGGGGAAGAGCTGCAGCCCGAGGGCGTGCAGGGAAGTCGAGGGAGAGAAAGGCTTGTGTGTCCCCAGGAGGCCGAGGGGCTGGAGGAGCAGGGACTAGAGGAACTGGACTTTCCAGGGGGAGGGACGCCGGGGGCGGCTGTTTGTTCTGATGGGGTTTTAGGGGGGCGGAAGCAGGTGGGAGAGCAGGCTGATGGCACAGAGGGAGGACAGAGACAGAGACAGGAGCAGCTGCAAGAGGGTGCCGGGCTTGCAAAACGAGCGGAAAGAGGGGCGCTGAACGGGGAATCGGGACTTCCGAATTATGACAAGCAGGACAGCAAGTTGCAGGGCCAGGAAGATCTGGAGCAGGCGGAACAGAGGGAGCGGGAGCCGAGAGGGCCGGGAGAGAGGAGGGTGGACACTCACCGCGAGGGGAACCAGAGCCTGGTGGGTGAGTCAGTGAATGTAGCTGGAGAGCAAGAACATGAGGCTCTACGAGGGAAACTGATGCCGGAGGAGGAGGAGGAGGAGGAAGAGGAGGAGGAGGAGGAAGAGGAGGAGGAGGAGGAAGAGGAGGAGGAGGAGGAAGAGGAGGAGGAGGAGGAAGAGGAGGAGGAGGAGGAAGAGGAGGAGGAGGAGGAAGAGGAGGAGGAGGAGGAAGAGGAGGAGGAGGAGGAAGAGGAGGAGGAGGAGGAAGAGGAGGAGGAGGAGGAAGAGGAGGAGGAGGAGGAAGAGGAGGAGGAGGAGGAAGAGGAGGAGGAGGAGGAAGAGGAGGAGGAGGAGGAAGAGGAGGAGGAGGAGGAAGAGGAGGAGGAGGAGGAAGAGGAGGAGGAGGAGGAAGAGGAGGAGGAGGAGGAAGAGGAGGAGGAGGAGGAAGAGGAGGAGGAGGAGGAAGAGGAGGAGGAGGAGGAAGAGGAGGAGGAGGAGGAAGAGGAGGAGGAGGAGGAAGAGGAGGAGGAGGAGGAAGAGGAGGAGGAGGAGGAAGAGGAGGAGGAGGAGGAAGAGGAGGAGGAGGAGGAGGAGGCGGCGGCGGCGGCAGCGGGGTCAAGCGAGGAGGAACCAGAATCTTGGGAGGGGGCCGCGCTGCGGGGCGCGGGTGTGGAGAGGAGCACGGACCGGGGGGAAGAGCGCGATGGTCCTCCCACACGGACTCCGGTGGCCCCTGAGGTCTCTTCTCCCTGCGACCTGCTTCCAGATACCTGGGATGCCACAGCCAGGATTCCTGGGACTCAGACAGAGCCCGGGGCTGAGGAACTGTCCCCGGTAGCTCTGACTCCTACACTGGAGCCAGTAGGACGGTCCCTTCAGGCCATTTCTTTACCTAGCTCCTTTCCTGTCCGGGAGTCATCTGACCAAGAAACAGCTCAGGACAGCCGGCAAGAGGGACCCACGCTGGGGGAGGTGGCCGCTGGCAGTGCGTCGGACACCCCTCCGAGGACCCCGGGTTGGGGTCCTTGCAGTCCTGCTGAGGCCTCCACCTGCACGACTGCCTCGCCCTGGGCCAGCCCCCCGGTTGCCGTTCCCAGGAAGAAGCCCTCACTTGCTGCATGTTCTCCAGACACCTCCGGAGCCTTTTCCTTGACTGACCAGCCACCTCTCTGGGGGGCTTCCGACACCCTTCCGGGCCCCCTCCATGGCTGCCCCGCTGCAGAGGCCAGCATGGACCCATGGGCCAGCCCTCCGAGCCCCCCGGCCACCAGCGCAGGGGCGGCGCGTCACCCCCGGAGCAGCTCCTTCCCCGGCTCTCACAGGACGCAGCCGGCCCCGGACCTGGCGGGCGCGTCGCTTTCCTTCTCCCACTCGGAACTGCCCCAGAGGCCCCCCAAGCCCTCCGTCTATGGTTCTGTGATCCCAAGAAGGGACAGGAAAAGCAGCAGGGGCTGCAGCAGCATCCCAGAATCCCCCAGTTCATTGTCCATTTGGGGGCAGGTCCCTCGAGAATCTACCCTCAGCCCAGAGAGGCCCGGCAGCCCCCGCAGCGCCCAGCCATGGGGCTCCGTCCATAACTCGGCCTTTGCCCCCGGGCTTCCTGCCTATGGCTCCTCAGCTCCCTTTGTCTTAGCAGATATGCCGGTCCATGAACCTCCACCGCCTCCTCCCCCAGAGCGGAGGCACGTCCACCCCGTGGTGGAGAGAGATGGCCATCTCGTTGCGATCTCCACGCTGAGGCAGTGTAGCTATCCTCCTCCGCTAGCCCTAAGTTTGGGGCCCCATGGTCCCCCCAAATGCCCTCTTCCCGAAGTTCCTGACCCCCTTGTAGCAAGGCAGTACCGACCTCTGCCCTCTACCCCGGACAGTCCCTGCCATCCTCAGACCTCTTTCTCCCCAAAGCTGAGATACAACAAGCCATTACCTCCGACTCCTGACCTGTTGCAGCCCCAGCATCCTCCTTTGCTTCCTGATAATAACCCAAGGATCTACAGGCCGCTCCCCGCGGTTCCCGTCGTAGATCCTCTCACTGAACCACCCCCGTTACCCCCGAAGTCCAGGGGGAGGAACAGGAGCATTCAGGGGGGACTTGTGAGTTCAGGGGGTCCAGCCAAGCCAAGACCTGTTTGTCAGGAGTGGACAGTGTCCACTCCCCATTCTGCTGGACGTACCTCCTGGCCCCCAGCCACGGGCAGATCAGTGGACTCGCTGGCCTCCACCAGCAGGAGTAAGAGTGAAGTGGCCCCTGGCATGGCTTTCAGCAACGTGACGGCCCTTCTGAGTCCCTCTTCACCAACCACCCCCTGGACGCTGGAGCTCCAGGAACCCGTCTCTGAAGCAGGGCTCTCAGAAGGGTCCAGGGCCCACGCTGGAGGATCTCTGAGAAGAACAGCCCATCAGGAAGGAGCCAACAGCCTGAGGCAGTCAGATCTAGGTCGGGCAAGGCAGCCTGAAAAACCTAGCCATCCTCATCTGGAGAAGGCATCCAGCTGGCCCCACAGGCGGGACGCAGGGAGACCAGCGGAAGGCAGCAGTGGACAGGCTGCCGTCTCGGGCGAGGGCTCCAGCAAACACAAGGGCTGGCATCGGCAAGGCGTGCGCAGACCTTCCATCTTGCCCGAAGGCGCTTCAGGTGAGCAGGGAGCGTGACACTCATGTCAGACCAGGCTTTGTCCAGCTCCTACCATCTCGTCCATCTTCTGTCCCCAGGTCCCCTGCCGTACTCCCTGCTGGCTTTACTCACCCACATATCTGATTCCAGCACGGAGGAAGGCCCTCAGAAGCCTTTCTGAGTCACTGCAGTGCTCTTCGCTCCCCACTCAGTCTCCATCTGTCCCCCACCCAGGGGGCTGGCTCTCTTATTGTGTATCTATCTGTTTTTCCCAAGGTGGTTCTGGACGCCCTCGCCCCACTCCTAAACACACCCTACTTCTTGCTTTCTAGCACCTGCTTGATGTCCCCCCAGTAGTAGAGGAGACATCCTCTACTTGGCCAGTTTACATACTGACTCGAGGGTTGGGTTCATATCTGGAGCAGTGTCCTGAAATGCTTTCTACTTTGGCACATCTCGCCCTCACAGATTTCCACCTGAGCCCCTTTACACACCTCCTCTGCCCTCAGACACCTGCATTTCCCACTAAGTCGTTATCTTCTTCAGCTGCCTCTGAATGTCCCTCTGAAACCTCAGTTACTTCATTCATCTCCATTTTCAGATACAAGAGGTCCAGCCATGGAGAAACCCCTCAGCTCTTCCGCCACCATTGTATTTCGGTGAGTTTCCCTCCCAATAGATATGCTTGTAATCTCTTTTCTTAGGGTATCGATTGAGGTTTCCATGAGGTTTCCATGGCAAGAGTTTTGGGACCCTGTGTTTTCCAGGAGTAAGGAGGGGAGGAAACAGACACCAGGGTTCCAGGGGAGGCAGATTTTTGATCTGTCTGGTTTTGTCAGCTGAGTCCTAATCCCCCATCCTCCAAGGCCCTTTGGCCATGAACTAACCCCCCTATAAAAGTCCAAAATGACATACAAATAAGCTCCAAACTACTCAAAAGTGGGTCGGGCTGCCGCTTGCCTCTTCAGGAGTCTTGGCGTGACATTGCAGCACATGTCCTAGAGGTTAGAGACTAACTCATCTACATGTCACCTGGGGCCCCTCTTTACTCCACAGGGAGAAAAAACCAAAGGAGCTGATGGGAGGCTTTTCAAGACGCCGCTCGAAGCTCATCAATTCCTGTGAGTACTTTGAGTCAGAACTATAGACCTCCATGGCTGTTCAGCCCAAGACTGGAGAGGGGCACATGGCCACCAGCGGTGGGCTGGGGATTCCTACAGAGAGAGGATCGCCAGGGTCCCGGAGACCCGGAGCAGTCTGCTGCTTCCTGCCTGTTTCTGTGCCTGGCTCCCCACCTGTCTAACTCTCCCTCTCCCACGCTTGTCCACCCCTGTAGCTCAGCTGCTTTACCAGGAGTACAGCGATGTGGCTCTGAACAAGGAGATTCAGAGTCAGCAGCGGCTGGACAGCCTGGCAGAGGCCCCTGGGCCCGCCTCCCCCCGGCAGCCCCGCCGGACCCTGGTGTCCTCAGAGTCTTACCTGCAGCGCCTCTCCATGGCCTCCAGCAGCTCCCTCTGGCAGGAGATCCCCGTGGTGCGCAACAGTACCGTGCTGCTCTCCATGACCCACGAAGACCAGAAGCTGCAAGAGGTACCCCGCGGGGCGCGGCGGGGCGGGGTGGAGGAGGGGAAGCCAAGGCTCACTCTCTGGAATCCTGTCTCCTGCTCACCACCACCAAGAGCAGGCGGTCCCCACACACACTCACCACACACTCGTGCATGCCACAACTGTCGGCAGTTGCGTCCTAAGCGTCACCACTGTCCCCACCTCTGCACCACTTCACGCCGCGGGCACTCGCCGCTGCGGTTGCTTCCCTCATGCGGAGTGGCCCTGCCTCTGCGTTTGTTGGGAGGAGTGTAGAACCGATCCCATCGCTGCTGCTGCAGCTTGACTGAAATTCCCCTCTCCAGCCGGGGTTTCAGGCTACGCTGAAGTTTTCCTCTGCAACCAAGGCACACACAGGGGCTTTCTGCTAGGCCTCTTGAAGAGTGCGCTTTGCAGTCCGCTGGTCTCATAGAGGCTTTAGAACAGCCATCAATCCGCTTGGTCCTTATACCCCATAGCAAGACTGTAGTAGAAGCTGTTTTGCTTAAAGTTAAAAAAATTAATAGGTTTTGCTTGGAGAGCTTCTCTTATAATCAATCTGAAATATGGGTTAAACCTTTCTTCCCAGGAAGACAATATGGCACAATGGAAAGGCATTATGGAATAATGTTTAAGTATTTGGGTTCTGGAGTAAGTGGCCTGGATGTGAAGCCCACTTTGATATTTGCTAGCTTTTTGCTCTGGCCAAATGACTTGCTTTTCCTAAGCTGCTTTCTCCTCATTTGTAAAGCTGCATTGCAAGGAGGTCCTGGGAGAATAAACGTGCGTGTGTGTGTATGTGTATGTGTGTGTGTGATTCTAGTACACAGTAATCGCTCGAGAAATGTTTACTACTTTAATTTCAAGTCAGGCCAATCTGGGTTTGATTCCTGGCATCGCCATTTACTAGCTGTGCAACCTCCAGCAAGTTATATAACTTCCCTAAATCTCAGTTTCCTCATCTGAAAATTGAGGATAATAAATGCCTACCTTTTAGGGATGCGCTGCAGTTTAAATGAAATAACACATAGCCAGCTTTAGCGTAGTTTCTGGTACACAGTTCGATACATATCAGTGCCCTATTCTCCCCTTTTTAGAGATGGGAAGGAGTAAAATTTTGGCCAGAAGGATGAATGGATTAAACAGTGTTTTAACCAAGTTGAACAGACAGGTTTAAATTTTAGGTTTTTTGAAGCTCAGACTTTTCTAGCACAGGAAGGGGCCCCTATTTTGACCTCAGCTTTTCAAGCACATGAAGCACATTTAGAAACTCATCACCGACCTGCCCCATATTTATAGGCCAAATGATGGGGAGGGGATGTGAACCCCAGCCCTCTTTCTCCAAGTCCAGCGTACTCTCAAGTCCAGGGCCCTTGGGCCAGGCCTGGCCTCGTGTTTCCGAGAAGACAAACCTCCGTGCTTGTACACACGGATCCCTTCCATTAAATAGCACTTCTGGGTCCACAGAGTACCTGCACTGACTCCATATCTGTTGACTGTCACATCTTTGCGAGATGGGATCACTGGACCGCCACAGAAAGATAAGAAAACTGAGGTTCAGGGAGGTTAAATGAGCTGCCCAAAGTCATAGGATTGGGGAAGTTAGAGCCAGGATGCAAAAGCACCTTCAGTGTCCCCACTCAGTGCTGAGTGTGAGGATCACCCACCGGGTCGTCAGTTGTCCGAGCCGTCACCCAAGCTTGTGTGTCGTCTTCCTCTTTTCTTTCCACCCATCTACCTCGAAGCTGCATGCCTGGACCAGCCCAGCTAGGGGGCAGGCCGCGAGGCATTGTGCCTCCTGCTGGGACCTCTGACCCAGCTCTCAAGTGCTGGACTATTTCCATGAAACCGCAGCTGCACCACCTCATTTCAAATATTCCCTTTCCTTTCTTCCTCCACAAACCCCACCTCACCTTCATCCCCTAAATTTGTCTGTCTTTCAAAGTTCTCTGGTTTAGTAAGTGACCCCATCATTTACCCAGTTACCAAACTCAAAAACTGAGGCATTAGCTGAGACTCTTTCTGCTCTTTCAGCTCCCATTCCTGGCAAATAACCGCGTCCTCGTAAATCTCCTTTCTGAATAATCGTGAACTCGGCCACCTCTCCCCCTGCCCGTGGCCGTTCAGGCCTTCGTCTCTCACCTGGAATTACTAGAAGTTTTCTCTCATGGCCGTCTTTTCTCCACGCCGTGCTCCTAGACATCTTTATGAAAAACAAATCTGATCAAGTCATTCACCTACATAAAAGCCTCTTTTTGTCTTCCCATGACCTTCAGTCCAAACCATTTTGCCCTGTTCACATAATCCTCCAGACCTCGTCTCTGTTTGCCTCTCTAGCTTAATCTCCTGCCACTACGTTAGTGCAGGTTCCAGAAACACTCAGTTTCAGCGGCTTTACGTTCTTTGGGGGCTCGCACATGTTCTTCCCTCAGCTTCGAATGCCCTTTTCCTCCCCCTGTATCAGATTGGGTTCCATTATGGCTGTGGGCTACAGTGGGATCTGTCTTATTTACCACTCTACCTAAAACATGACACAGTGGCTGGCATACATCAGGGACTCAGTGAATGTTTTTAATGAATATTCCTCCTCTCCAACCTCCTAGGCTAAGTTCGAGCTGATCGTGTCGGAGGCCTCATACCTGCGCAGTCTAAATATAGCTGTGGACCACTTCCAGCACTCAGCCCGGCTCCGGGCAGTCCTTTCCAACCAGGATCAGCAGTGGCTCTTCTCTCGTTTACAGGACGTGCGTGACGTCAGCACCATGTAAGGGTCCGCTCCCCCACACACTGCCGCTCAGCCTCACTGCCTCTAGCTGTAAACCTTCCCTCAGTATTTTCCTTCTCAGGAGCCTTCTCCTTGCTCCTTTCAAGATTCCCTACAGGTCCGCTCCCCCACACACTGCCGCTCAGCCTCACTACCTCTAGCTGTAAACCTTCCTCAGTATTTTCCTTCTCAGGAGCCCTCCCCTTGCTCCTTTCATGATTCCCAACGGCCTTAGGGTAGGGAGGGCAAGCAGAGGGTGGTGGCGGATAGACCCCTTAGTGGATGAACAAAGTATTGAGGAATGTCTCCTGGGTGGGAGTTAGGTGTGCTGTGGGCCTGCAGTGCCCTGGGGACGAGGACCAGTTAGGTCCAGGTGGGGGCAGGGACACAAACTGAGAACAGCCTCTGAGGAAACTAGTGCATAAGGAGGGTCACGGAGCCGAGCCAGTCACTAGAAGTCAGTACTAACAGAAGGTGTCACAAGCTCAAGGTATAGCAAGGTCAGCCAGCTGCTCACTCAAGGCCCACCAGCCTCAGCGGACTTGTTTGAATACCACACAGGTTCCTTTCCGACCTGGAGGAGAACTTCGAGAACAACATCTTCACCTTCCACGTGTGCGACGTGGTCCTGAACCATGCCTCCAACTTCCGCCGGGTCTACCTGCCTTATGTCACCAACCAGAGCTACCAGGAACGCACCTTCCAGAATCTACTGTGAGACCAAGCTCCCATTCAGCCCCCATGCGGGCCCTGCAAGGGCCTCGTACCCCGCCCCCGCCCCCGCGTGCCGTCACCGGCACCATAGCACGCATTCCTGTGGCCTCCGCCGTCCTCTCCCGGCCCGTCCACTGGACCCCACAGGCCCTCCACTGAGTGTCCGCCCCCCAGGCCCTCACCGTGCCCCCCAGCCTCCCGCGCTTCTCACCGAGGCCCGCCGCCCACACAGGAGCACTAACGGCAGCTTCCGCGAGGTGCTGGAGAAGCTGGAGAGCGACCCCGTGTGCCAGCGCCTTTCCCTCAAGTCCTTCCTGATCCTGCCCTTCCAGCGCATCACGCGGCTCAAGCTGCTGCTCCAGGTATGGCAGGTGCCACCGCCCTCCTTGCCCTCCTCACGTCCTGCTGGCCCCCGGTCCTCGCCCTGTGGCCGATGTGCGCAGGCTCCCCGCTGCCCACGCCGGGCTTCCTCCTCGGGGTGATTTGCTGCTAGCATTTTGTTCCTGGACTTCGTCCTCAGCCCACTGCCGATCGCCTCTTCCTGTTTCTCCGTCCCTTCTTTCATCTGGCTCCTGTCTACCCTTTGTTCTACAGAACATTCTAAAGAGAACACAGCCTGGCTCTTCAGAGGAAGCAGAGGCCACGAAGGCGCACCACGCCCTGGAGGAGGTAAGCGGCGCCATTCCCACCCTGGCCCTCCCAGAGAACCCGTCCCCTGCTCAGGCCCATGACCCCAGGAAGCACAAGGTCCTGCTGCGGGGTTGCCCGGCCATCGAACCCCCGCCAGGCCCGCAGCCTCCCGACCCGCACCCGGCACAGCGCACACCCAGGGGCTGTGCCCTCACTCTCACATTCCCCAGATTAAATCTTCCTTTCACTCGGCCCAGGAATGCTCTGTCAGGTCGTTGGGCCAGAGCCCTAGACCTTCAACTCCATGCTGCCTTCACGCAGTTCAAGCCTGGTCGCAAAGACTGGGGCTGCCACTCCCGACGTCCAGATTTACGTGGGACTCCAAGGTCAGAACCGCTAACACAGTGCTCTTCCTCTTTCCTCGCCCCATTCAACACTCAGCTCATCCGAGACTGCAATAACAACGTGCAGAGAATGCGTCGCACAGAGGAGCTCATCTACCTGAGCCAGAAGATTGAGTTCGAGTGCAAAGTGAGTGAGTCTCTCCGAGCCTCACCGGCCACCTTCTCACACAGAGCCGGCGTGCTCATCCTGCCCCAGACTCTAACCTCATTTCTTCATGTCTTCTGTCCTATTTCTGGGATGCCCAAATGCCTACTTCATTCTCCATGACACATTGTTAAGGGAAAAAGGGTGGATACAGGATCATGTGGGTTATAATGTATTACCTGTAGTGGAAAAGTAGGGTGCAAAGCCGTGTGTGTGCGTGTGTGTGTGTGTGTGCACGCGCTCGTGCATGCATCAAGAAGCTCTGGAAAGGTACACGAGAAGTCCAGAACAGTGGTTGCCTGTGGGGCAGAGTGTGCATTTGGGAAATGGCAGATGACAGAGAACTAAGCCTTTATAAAGATACACTGTTGGTGCTTGAACCACTCAGTATTGTATCAAGTCTCCATCTAGTCTAACCAAAGCCGTACAAAACTGAATCCAAATCTAGGTTCAGAACCTCCCATCCGAAAGCAGATGTAAAATAGACATTCCACATTTAAATTCCAACTCAGATGCCATTCTTATCTCCTGGAAGAGAAGGAACATCCCTTATCACATATCATTGGCAGTTCAGTACCCTTATCTCTACATAAATTCCAGCTCCAAGCAGACCATACCAGTTCTTAATCTCATTCCCAAGCACAATGCCAGCTTCTCCTCTCATGTCTCTGGCTATAATCCAAGAAAGAACAGATGTCAGAAGTGCCCAAATCTCTTAACTTCTAAGGCACACGACATGCTCGCTGCCTTCTTCCTTCCCGCGACCTAACTGAGCTCTTCCATCTCTTCTTCAGTTCAGGCTTCTAGGTCTAAACTTTCTTATACAGTCACTATTCTGGGTTGGGCCATCGGCACCTTTCATGAGCATGAGCTATGGACGCGGGAGCTGCACAGCTGGAGACAGTGGTAGTTGCAGAGTTCAGAGAAACAGCCTAAGTGGATGGGTGATGAGCAAGAGGGAGGACGGGGAAGAGGTGATTGTCCACGGGGAACTTATGAGGAAGGGGCATGGTGAGGAGGGCAGGACTGAGAGGAAGCCTCTCACTTGTCCTGTCTGTGACTCCGCCTTCTCTGTCTCCTCCCACCCTGTAGATATTCCCGCTCATTTCGCAGTCCCGCTGGCTGGTGAAGAGTGGAGAGCTGACAGCTCTGGAGTTCAGCGTCTCCCCAGGGCTGCGAAGGAAGCTGAACACACGTCCAGTCCACCTGCACCTCTTCAACGACTGTCTGCTGCTGTCTCGGCCCCGAGAGTCAGTGACTGGAATGGGAGGCCAGAGCACAGGAGGGAAATGGGATGAGGCAAGAGGGAAGGACTGAGAGGGGCAGAGAGGGGTTGTGTTCCTAGAGGAACCCGGCTCAGGGGCTCCACCCATGGGGTTCAGATCACGGCCCAGAGAAGAGGGAGAGATGCAAAGCGAGAGAATTACGTCACGAGAGCGCACGGCAGCCCGTGCCATGTTATAGACACGAAACAAAACGCAGCCCGTCGGCTTGTCACAGGCTCCGTCGGTCCGCAGCGGCTTCTCCGGGCCAGGCTCAGCCTCCCAGCCCAAGGTCCATGGCCAGTTCCAGACCTGGCTCTCTGGTCCTCAGGGCCGGAGAAGTGCGCATCGGTTCTGTCTCTTCAGCTCTTTAAAGTGCTGAAGTATCCATGGCACTAGACGTGTGGTTTGCCAAGCTGGTGACAAATCCCTGGGGACCCTGGAGCTTGAGCGCTAGTTAGCACCATCGCATGGTTTTTATGAGACTTTCTAGATGCTAAAGACGGGGCTTTGGGCCCAAAGACAGGAAGGGAGACGAAGCGGGACAACTGTAGGATCGGGCTGAAGAGCCTTTTGTCTCGCAGGGGCAGCCGCTTCCTGGTGTTTGACCACGCTCCCTTCTCCTCCGTCCGCGGGGAAAAGTGCGAAATGAAGCTGCACGGACCTCACAAGAACCTCTTCCGCCTCTTCCTGCTGCACAACACGCAGGGCACCCAGGCCGAGTTCCTCTTCCGCACGGAGACTCAGTGAGACGGGGCTGGGCGGGTGGTCGGGAAGGACGTGGGACCAAGGCAGGAAGTGCGATCGGAAAATAGCCACAGCACTATTTAGTTGGTCCAGCTGGACTGGGGAGCATCCATAGAGAAACCCAAACTCTCAGAGCTAACAGCCCCAGGAGATCCGGGTGGCGGAGGGGACAGAGTCGCTACCAAGGCTTAGTATCTATCTCACACCCTTTAGTCAAGAAGGACAAAGTCTGTGAGATACCACAGAGGAGGCAGGCTGCTGTGGGGTAACTATAGAATTGGAATTACTGACACCCACCAGTGAATGCCTGGTTTATAAGTCAGAAGTTCCTCGGAGCCCAGGGCTGGTGGGCACCTATGTGCATAAGATAAGCTCTGGGGTGCCTTCATCTTTCCTGGCTCCCACCTTCCAACCTAGTCCTCTGCTGAGCAGAAATCCATAGTGTCGAGAACTTTATTTTGCTCAGCTTTTTAATAATAATAATAGTAATAATAATAATAATAATAATACATTTGCGGATATGTGTATTTCAAAGAGTATTAAAAAATACCTATAAAATCTGGTACACAATTCCTATTATAATGAAGAGCTATAAGACTGTAGCTATTATCGATGTTATCAAAGATATAAGAAATCTTTTCTTTAAAAAGTTTGACATGCTACCTAAGAATCTGAGGATCCTTACGTTATAGACAATTTTTAGTTTTGTCCCTTGGAAGACACTTCAGGGTGGGATCAATAATGACTGTCTTTACTTATGGACGAAAGGGAGTGGTGTGAAAAATGTCACCTAAGTACAGTAACCAGAAACGGCCTCCTGTTCTTCATTTAGTGCTTTGGGCAGCATCTATCTGGAACAGTAATAGTGTCAGCTCTCAATTACAATGAAAGCTTCTCAGTTAGAAGCAGAGGCTAAGATAATGCAAAACCTTTAGATAATTACAAAATTAGGCTTGAATTATGTTACATGACAAAAAAAATTAGAATTATCTCCCTGACTTAATTATGATTACAGAATAATTTTCATCTCTGAGATATTTAGTAGGAAGGAGGTGGGCAGAGGAGTGTCAGGAATTATGCAGAGTGATAGAGGGAATCTAAACCGCGATGAACATTTGGCTTAGTACAGTTCCCCAAATGGAAAATGGACCTGTTTATAATTGACCATCGACCTTATGCCACCACTTGAAAGATATGAGATGCCACTAACGAGATAGCCTTAGAAAGAAAAGGGGAAAAATAAAGGGCGACAAAACACATTAACAAACAGTTCAAGATCCTGTCGTATTTCCAACCAAGCAGAGTCCCGTCGACGTGTGTCCTAGATATCGTTGAACTAGACAAGTCTTCTCATAGTGTCTTCCTTGCCCACCTCCGCCCCTTGACCTACATAACCCGCCTCCTCGCCCCCTCCCACCCCCCGAACCGCAGTCGAAGGAGTGACCCTGCTTTGTTTCTCAGAAGTGAAAAGCTCCGATGGATCTCGGCCCTGGCCATGCCGCGAGAGGAGCTGGACCTTCTGGAATGTTGCGGTGAGTGAGGACGAGAAGACGGCAGGGTCGAGGGCTGGGGGACAATCCGGGGGGCTTCCACTTACCGCTTCTGTCCAGAAGTCCAGGGCGGGAGACTGGCCGCTGGAGCCCGAGCACCTGAGTTGCATCCGCTTACGACTTCTCATTCCCATGGCAGTGCCTCCCACTCCCCGTCTACTTCCTTGGACAATAGTTGGGTCTTTTTCGATATTTGTCTCCTTAAGTCTATCCTGCTATTATTTGGCGCAGACTTTACGTACATGAAGGCCTCAGGAAATGGGAGAAAGTAGGGCTGGAGTGGGAGTCACAGGAGGACAGCGACACGGTGGACTTGTCTTGGGCACACCCCCTCCTGTATCGAGTGACCTGAGACCACTGCCCTCAGCCCAGGCTTCTGGGTGCTCCTGGGTGGCCACAGACACCCACACATCGTGAATGTGTCTGCGTCCATGCTCCTTGTCTTAGAATTTATGGGTCTCCTATAAGCCTCGCAGTTGTCCTCCAGCAAGGATTCCCTAATTCATATCCAGAACGGAACTGAATTCAAAGGAAGACTGGCCTCTAATGACTCGAAAGCACAAACAAATGCAAGGAAGCTTGGAAGAGGAGGTAGAGAGCCAGGCCGGAAGCTGAGTTAACTTGTTCCCGGAGGGGTCCATCTGCCGGGCGTCAGCTCCCGGGGCGGTAAGGAAGGCAAGCTCGTTCTTCCTCCCTGCTTCTCTGGCCTTGTGAACGGCAGAGGAGGATGAGCTTTTTAAAAGCGTGGATGATGGAGCAGAGTTCTGTTTGTTTTCCGAGGAAGCCAGTTTGGCGGTGAGGCAGAAGGAGCAGCAAGGCCGTGTGGGACGGAACGCCCGTGGTCAGGAGGGCTCTGAGGCTTTTTAATCTCAGCTTCAAAACCGTGGGTATTTCCTGAGTCACAAAAGCATAGAAATATAGGAAATGCAGAATTTCCTCAATCTTCTGGATCAACCCAGTCATTTGGAGATGAGGAAACTGAAGCTAAAGGAGATTAAGTGCCTTCTTAGCTCATACCTGGAACCCCACTGGTTAGGTCTCTCCTCGTCCCACCTCTGGTGCTGTGAAGAACATGAGGAGTGAGTCACAGACTCATTTCGCAATTTAGTCGAAGAGCCAGAACATATACATGAAGCAATTAGATAAGGGCAAATGGTTTGGACTGGGCAATCGGTTTTAAAGGAGTTGAGAATCCACTGAGGAATAAAGGCCCAGAGAGGGTCTCAGAGGGAAGATGGGTCTTGTGTATTTGTAATAGTGAGTCGTTAAATGTGGTCACAGTGTGTTTTTCGATTCATCTTTCCCGGAGAAAAAGAATTTTTGATTCATTTCAGTGCTGGTATTTCTATGTCCTTGTCAACCATTTTGTTCCCCAGTAGAAGATGAAGACTTCCAGTTGTCTCTTTTGTCTGTAACTTTCAAAAGCCCAAACTTCCACTAGCCCAAGTCCTCCCCGCTTCCTCCTGCAATTTCTCCTCTGTGTTCCAGCCACTTACTTGCCTTTCTTAACCTCTCTTCACACTCTTCTCTTCCAAAGACTCCCCACAAGTTCAGTGCCTTCGAGCCTACAAACCGCGAGAGAATGACGAGTTGGCTCTAGAGAAGGCGGACGTGGTGATGGTGACTCAGCAAAGCAGCGATGGTAAGAGGGAGACTCTTGGAGGAGCAGGCGGGGCGCTGGGGGTGGTGCGCGGCAGGTGGCTGACCAGTTAGTGTCCCGGGGCTGCTGTAACAAAGCGCCATGAGCTGGTGGCTTAAAGCAATAGAAATTTATTCTCATGGTTTCAGGGGCCAGAATACAAAATCAAAGTGTCAGCAGGACCATGCTTCCTCTGAAACTCCTAAGGAGGTCCCTTCGGCCTCTTCCAGCTTGTGGTAGCTCCAGGCGTGACTTGGCTTGGGGCAGCATGACTCTAATCTCTACCTGTCTTCCGTGTGTGTGTGTGTGTGTGTGTGTGTGTCTGTGTCCAGAGTTCTCTTTTTTTATAAGGATACTATCTATATTGGATTAGTGGCCCGTTTTACTCAAGTATGACCTTATCTTAACTTTACTGATTACATCTGCAGTAACCCTATTCCCAAATGAGGCCATATTCTGAGGAACTTGGGGTTAGCCCTCCATTTATTTTGTGAGAACATAGTTCAACTCGTAAGAGCGGAGGTCGCTCAGGAGCAGGCAGTTGCAGACCCCGCTGGACCTGGAACAGCCAGGGTTGGTGTGACAGAGGCTGGGTTTCCCATGCCGAGGGCTCTGCAGTCCCTTCAGCCTTACGATTCTGGGAAGGTGGTCCAGGGGAAATTACTGTGAGTGTGTCTGTGGTAATTCTCCCCCCCCACCCCGCTCCCCCATCCCCCTAGGCTGGCTGGAGGGCGTGAGACTCTCCGATGGCGAGCGAGGCTGGTTCCCTGTGCAGCAGGTGGAGTTCATCTCCAATGCAGACGTTCGTGCACAGAACCTGAAGGAAGCCCAGCGAGTGAAGACCGCCAAGCTACAGCTGGTGGAACGGCAGACCTAGCTCTTCTCTGGGAGGAATCCCCTGAGCGTAAGGACAGGATGTCCTCAGAGAGGTCTGGCCCCGTAACTCTGCAAGAGGCCTTCCGCGGACCAAGAACTAGACCTCGTGAGAGCCCCAGGACCAAAGCCAGCTACCGGTTGCTGTCCTAGCCCTCCCTTTTTGTGTTTGCGTTTGGTCGGGGGGTTTGAGGGACTTTGCACTGGCTCTGGAAACACTTTCTCATATGAAAAGGGACCCTTGGGGCCCACACCAAGGAACTTGACTTCTGCTGCCATACAGTCCTTGCACATTCTCTGCTTCGGAGCACAGACTCAGAGCTAACCGGTCTCCATCGTGGCCATGTGTTAAGCAGAATCTGACTTCCACTGCAAGGAGATGTCTAAGAGAGAGTAATAGATACATCTGATGGGAGGGTCGGCCTGGTGACCTCTAAGTAGCTTCCCGCCCCAAAGGTTTTCTGTAATTATTGGTACGAGGTCCGTGCATGCATTCCTGGGATCCGTTAGTGGCAATGTGAGGGTAACGTGCTCTCACTCTAATAAACTTGGCACTTCTCCAAGTGTTTTCTCCTCAGACTTTTAAGTGCTGAACAAGTCCAGGACACGGAGTTCCATGAGGCTGTTAAAGTGTTCGATTTAGGTGCGTGAAAGACCAAGATGGCCCCTGGGTTATGGCAGCTGTCGACTCTCGCTTTATGACTTCCAAGAGTTTGGGCAGTTTTCTCTGCTCGTTATGGCATCAGAGGTTGTATACGAAATTAGAAGGGATTGACAGGTGATGAAAATCCCATTCAAACTTTCTTTTTCACTGAACACATAAATTAAGGCACAGGCTGGGTGGATGTGGGAATCCTACCCGGACCATTCATGATTTCACGTTTTGACTTGGATTATTGTGAACGTATCTTCTTCCCAGCTATTTCATCCTTTGTGAAAAGCAGCATGGTGTCATGGAAAGAGTCCTAGGATCCAAGTCAGGGGACACAGTACCCCAGTTACCACACTGCCATGACTCAGCCTGCCCCTGTCTCAGTTTCCTTAAGTATAAAATGCAAGATCGGACCACGTAACCGCCAGAGCCCCATGCAGCTCGGCAGTGCGCTCGCCAGTCTCCTGTCAGAGCATCACTCTTCTCGTTATGTTTCACGTGAGCCCTCCTGCAGCAGCAGCGCGGCCGTCCGCTAAGCTGGCTCATTAGAGCCTTCCCGGGCCATTCCACTCCTGTTTTATCCTTAGGGGGGCTCAAAAGTAAAATCGCATTGCAGTTTTCTACAAAGGTAAGAATAATACTGCAGGCTTTGTCCTACATCCAGCGAATGGTGATAGGACGTGATAGTATCACTTTTGGTAACGCAGTTTTCAGTTCATCCTAAAATGTAAGTTGGCTTGCTTAATTTATTTATTTTATTTTTTTTTATTTATGCCTGCAGCACCTGGTCTTCCTAGGTGGTCTCCCATCCAAGTACTAACCAGGCCTGACCCTGCTTAGCTTCTGAGATCAGACATCAGGTTTGTTCAGGGTGGCATGGCCACAGACCATGGACTGTGGCTCCACTGGGGTGTGAACCCAAGACCTTCTGTGTGTAAAGCAGATGTGCTAAGTGCTACACTATGGAACCACGTCCGGCTTGCTTAATTTTTAGAACAGTTCTCACTATCATAATTAAGATGGCTAATGTTAATTTATTCTAAATAAGTTGACACTACTAAACAAGCTAACATGAGATGGTTTTGGAAAAGTTCATTTGAGGTTTTTCACCATTTTCGTAAAGCCAGCTTTTTATTATTAATATATGATACATTAATATGTATATATTACATGTAAACTAGCAACTGGTTTTTCTTAACAGGGATACCAATAATTATAATCCAAATTATTTATTCAAGCCAGTATTTAAATACTGGCCATATGGCTGAAACAGAGCTATATCCAATCTTATATTTTTTAGGAAGTTTTCCCAGAGAGGTAAAATAAATTCTGAATGATAGAAGTGCAAATAATTATTTTGGTTGAATGACTGCTCTTTTGCTTGAAGTTGCTGAGGCTTTCTGAGCACCTCTGAAGCTGACTTCTGTAAGGCAAAAATTGTCTTAAGAGATTTAATATGCCTATTTGATCTCAGAAGCTAAGCAGGGTTGGGCCTGGTTAGTACTTGGATGGGAGACCACCTAGGAAGACCAGGTGCTGTAGGCATAAAAAATAAAAAATAAGGGACTGTAAGCTGACAAGGTCTTTGCAATCTGTGAGATCAACCAAGGGTTGCCTCACCTAAAATACATATGTGTAATTTAATATGTATTCATTTAATTGGATTATTCTCACCTAATCAGGGAAATCAAAAGATATTTGGCTGTCTTTAGGTCCTTGGTTTTAAAGACAAAAACCAAAAATCGAACAAATAAAACCTAGATTTGAGTAATCTCTCCTCAGCTGAATTACTAAATTTTCTATACTTTGGGTTTCAGATCATTGGGTGCAGATCCACTTATTGTCCCTTACTTCTGCAGATTTCTAGAATTTGACTCAATTTATAATTTAATCCTGACTGACATCATTGTTTTAGAAACACAGCAATTTCTTATGAGATTTTATTAAAACAACCATTAATCAACACTTTTTGGACAGAACTGCATTTGAGGCATATACAGATATACAGGATTTTGTTGGTTTTTTAAGCAAAACCATGCACAGGGTTAGTGGCTTCAGGAGACGTCAACGACAGCCCTAGAGACCCTTTTCCGAAATGTGACATGCTCTGAGCTTAAAATCCTTAGATACGTGCTGAACGATTATCTTCGCTTGACATTGAATTTTTATCACTTTTACCTACTCACACAGCTTAGGAAACTGTTCCTTAGAGTTCGTTTTCACCATCAACTTTTCACTTAGGGTTAACTATGATCTTAACGATTTTTATCATGCATGACATGCTCCGTCGCTGTCATTTAAAATGATTTCAGTAAGATCAGCCTACATGTTAGTATCTGGAAGGCTTACGCTTTGAGATGTACTTATTTTCCCTAATTTCATTTTCCATCTCTTAACTTCTATATCCATGATACAAGATAAAGTGGATTTTGGCCCTACGATGACTGATCTTTTTTAACTGGCCTTTGGCAGAGAAGTTGTTTAAAAGTCTGAAAATCTAAAGAAATTAAATTCACTGCCCTCCCCCTCTTTCTGGACCCATTTTCTTCTGGACCCCGTGTTGCTCTACCCATAATAGTTTGTGCTTTGAATGAGACCAAATTGGAAATCCAGTATTTTGATACAGTGGCCCTTTATAGACACGAACATTCCTCACCCAGCCAAGACAGGTCACTGAGATTTGTGCATGTTTGTTCGTGGTTTTCAATCCTCTACATAAATACCTTGGTGGTGGCAATTTGGCTCTATCACTAACGCAGTTCACTGACCCTCTAGCCACAATTGCTATGAACATGACTCGGGAGATGCCTGTCGTTTAATGTGCTCTTATAACTCTTAAGCTGTGTGGAGGGGCCGAAGGTTACAAGTGAATGAGCTAAGGAGAAACCGATTGCCTGAATCAGTCATGATTCAAATGTACCGCGAACATTCTCTCTGCTTAATAGTTTTCAACCCACTTCTTCCCATCCGCCCATTTTAAATGACAGTTACGTTGCAGAAATTTCTCCAGCCTCTTCCTGGGAAGAGGATCAGGCAAAGCATCCATTCAGTCTGCAGAATCCCTTAAAGACATTGCAAAAAATGAGGCTGCAGTCCCCAGGAAGACACAGGGAGTGCGGGTGAGTGGATGCTTCAATATTTATTCTTTCTGGGCGGGGTGGACAGGGCAAGAGTGGAGAAGGGAGCTGGGTCAGAGCTGAGTCGTGCGCCGGAAACTTTCTCCATGCTGGGGAGGGCGCTCCCAGGGAGTGACTACGGGTCCTGCTGCTTGGAGCGTGAGTCACGGGCCTGAGGGCAGAGCCCGCCGCAGGAGAGGCTGGGTCTGGCCCAGGAGTTCCCTAGGAGCACCGAGAGCAGATAAGGATTTTCCTGGCAGTTATCTGCATGTTTCAGAGAGGCAATTACCTCTGAACAGTGCGGCTGGAAATCCAGGAGAGCGGGAGTCGAGTCAGTTTGCCGCGCCGAGATCGGGGTTCCAAGTCTGCTCCCGGACCAGGGTCTGCGGCCGCCGGGGAGAAAGCGCAGCTAAGAGTGACAGACTGTGGGATGTGGTAGAGTCCACAAGTCTAGCACGAGAGACTTGCTGTCACAGAAGCAGACAGTCAGGTTGAAGAGGAAAATCAGGAGGCAAAGAAAGAATGGACACTCGGATGGGACACATCCAGCCAGTTCGAGGGTGTTTTCTTACTGAGATCAGCTTGTGCTGGGGTGTTGGAGTTGACAGAACCCTAAGGATCTTTGTTTCTGACACCCTCATTTGTCACCATGGAGCCTGGAGAGGGGAGATGGTGAGCCTAATGTCTCACAGCCGGTTAGTTATAAACCACAGATTGGAACAGTCTGGTGTTCACCTGTAGGATTTAAGCAGATGATCTGTTGAGTTTGTGCTCACCACGTAAGGTTGAAGGTGACTTGTCATGAATTACAAGGATTGAGTCAACAGAATATGGATAGGCAGATTATTTTTGAGAGAGTGGGAGGAGCAGGTAGTGACACTTGTGGAATTAATAAACAAGTTTTGGTGATAGCATTGAGCTCGGCCAGGTGACAGACTGGAAACAAAGATAAGGTGTGGTTTTCACAGCCATCTGTCATCCTTACACAGCAGGGCCTCAAATGACTGGAGAAGGGAGGTGCGGGGAGAGACAGAGGTGGCTGTTTAGCTTTAGGGGACGAGAGGACTGAAGGATCATGACTAGAAGGTGAAATTACGCAGAGTACTAGGCTTTCTCCTTGAAACAAAACAACGCTGGCATTAACAAATAAAAGGGGGAAGAAAGATAGAGGAATTTTGCAGTTGGGGAAAAAAGGAAAATGAATATATAAAATTTATTTTTAAAACTTTTGACATAGTCCTTTAACTTTGTTCTGGGGACTTTTTTTTTTTTTGGTGCACTGAGTATGCGAAAGTATCTGATTTCACCAATTCAAATAATTGTTATAGGAAGTAACAGAAAAGTCAAGCCAAAATAAATAATGGTCAGGAAGATGAAATGAA